GCGCGGGTCGAGGTTCCCTCCTCCACCAGCCTCCGCGCTCGTCCCGGCCTCTCTGCCTCCCCCGAGCTGGGTGGTGCACCCTGCGGTTCCGACGGCTCCGGGGCCTCCGTGGGCCTCGTTTTCCTCACCCATAAAACTCTATACACGGGGCGCAGCGGGGCGAATGCGCTGACTCAGGGGTCACGATCTGGATTTGAATCCCAGCTCGAGTACCTCCTTGCCCGCTCTGGGGTCTTGGACGAAGGCTTCGGCCTTTCTGTGCTGCAGTTATCTGTGAAATGGGGCTGATCTGACGTGGATGGCGGGCTTGGAAGAACATTTATATCCATTCCCATCCGGAAGAATGCACCCCCAAACTCGGGCTATGTGGCGACACCCGGGGAGGGGTACGGGGTTCGGGACGGGAATAATAGGATTTCAATGTTTGAATTTTTAACCATAGGTGTTATCTTATGGTAATATAATATAATATCTTATGGTAATATAATATAATAATAATAATATAATAATAATTATATTATTATTTATGTTTTAAAATAATATATATAAAATGGCTGACATAGAGTAGATAATAAATGGTCACTACCATTTAAAATTTTTATTTACCAGTTACTAATGAGCCAGGGGCATGTAATTTTGGGGTCTATTCAGTATTTTAAAGCTTTTGTTTTTTTCAGAGACTCGTCAATATTTTAAAACCAGGATATTTTATAACTTCTCTTGGAAAATAAAAACATAAAAATGGAAGTTCTAGCAACATTGCCCTGCATCCCCACAAAATAACAGGGTCTCAGGTGCTCCCACCTGACATTCCTGAGCAGCTTTCGCACTTGGTGCCGAAGGCACAGTTAGATGACAATCTGTGGCGTCCAGGAGCAGGCCTAGGTGAAGACAGCCAGCCATGGGGAGGCGAGTACTGGACACGACAGAAGCAAATGGTATCTCCAAGAGATGGAGAAGGTGAAAATATAAAAGCCTTTGAAAATGTAAGAATTGTAACCTTATTTGACATTTACTATGCATATTTTTTTCTTAATAAATCCCTAAGTTCCTTCAAGACAAAGACTATGCTACTTTGTATCATCTATATTTTTTTCATAGATTGCATTTGTGTGTGTGTGTGTGTGTGTGTGTGTGTGTGTGTTTATATTTGTGGGGTAAAAGAAATATGTGAATTAGAATGTTATAGAACAGACAAATGAGTCCCAGGTCCCTAGGCCTGCCCTTCAGACCCCCACCCAAGCTCAGAGGCCCACCTGGCAGGTGGCTAAGCTGGCTGGGGCCACCTGAGACCACTGTGATTTTGTGGGGACGTGGGACGATGTTGCTAGAGCTACTGTTTTTGTTTTTATTTTTCAAGGGAAGTTCTAAAACACCCTGGTTTTAAAATATTGAAAAGTCACTGACACAACAACAAAGGCACCAAGCACAGCCCATAAAACGTGACTGTTCGTCAGATTTGTCTCCAGGCCTCAAGTTTGTGCCTCTCAAAACACCCTCAGTCTTGGTCCTGTGTTCCTATAGAGCTTGGGAAGATAACAGGTTAATGCCCCTCTGCCAGGAGGGACAGTTTATCGAGGGACTGTTGGCGACACACAGTCCTAACCAAGAGGCGTATTTATAGTCATGGATTTGGAGCGGGAAGCCCCTTTGCTCAGACCTCAGAGTCCAATGTGGCGATGAGACACCCAGCCCCAGGGGCACAGGACAGTATGTGAGGTCCGGGACCTTTCAGTGACCCCTAGTCACACCCCATCGGCATTCGCTTATCTACAAGTAGACAAGCTGCAGGACAGGAAGGTGGGACTGAACAGAGCAGGAAGGGAGCCTGGGAGGATGGAAAAAGGGCCTCTGACATCTGTGATTGCAGTGGACTGAAGGTCAGAAATAGTCCCTTCTATTCAGAAGTGGCCGCAGACCAAAGAGCTCACGAGACTCACTACAGCTGTCGCCTCCCTTGACTTGGGGGGCTGAAAATACTGTATGAAGAAAAGCATTTCCTATGCCTCGGCAACCTGTGAAGTAGCAGATGGCATTCGTGGACACTGTCCCAAGGATAAGAAGAAGCTTCTTCAAAGATTATGTAATAAAGGCAGGTGATTACATCAACTTATGGAACAAAATCTGACTTCACATTAACATTCATTTCTAAATAAACATTTAAATTAATGCTTTTAAAAAAAGATTATGTAATAAGTAGATGTTTATCCAAAGTATCTCTAGGGATAGGATAGCTAAGGACAAAGAGCAGGGACAAGCTGAGTATTCGTCTGACTCTGAGCTTAACATAGTGATATAATAATAACATAATAATAATAATAATAAAGCGGCTAACATGTATATAGCACTTTGTGTGCAGTCCTCGTTGTAACAGATTTGGAAACAAAGACACAAAGAGAAATCCAGTAATTTGCCCCAAATCTCACAATTAGCAGCTATTCCATGTACATGTGAGAAATTTAGCTGAGTTCGCTTAACAATTTTTGGTAGTAAACTAAGGAAGTTTTATTTGTGTTGAATTAAATAACATTTTAAACTAATGTTTCCTGTGAGGCATTGTCCCCTTTCCGAGATAATACAGATGCTGCTACCACCGGTGGACACAGGTGGGGCCACAAACTAATGAGACTGTCTGTCTGTTGGTTTGTGGTCATAGCGACCCTTTTCAGAGAGCCCGGTGTTTGCCTTTCTGCCTCCCGGAATCATGGTTCGCTCAACTCCTTTGTTCCAGAAGAGCCGCCGTATTCCCAGTTGCCGCCACCAGGCTGGGCGCCGGCCGCTGAGTCCCAGTGTCCTGTCACATAATTTCACTGTTTTCTTTCACTGATGCCATTCTTCTGACCATGTGGCTTGGCCTTGGCCTGGCTAGCTCACCCTACAACTATTTTGAGAACAGCCTCCTGTGACCTGTTCTCTACAAGGAACCCGGAGGGTGGGGACCACCAGGCCATGTTTACCTTTGTATCCACCACCTCTCCCTGCACATAGTAGGCATTTCATAAAGCTTGTGGGTGGGGGGAGGGCGAGCCCGTGAACGAGAAACGGCGAGCATGGCCTCAGCTCTGGCCACGTGCCAGCGCTGTCTGGTTATTGTCTCGCCCTGTCATAGCTGAGCTGGCTCAGCTATGAGGAAGATGAGATGATGAAGAAACAGGATGTGACCTGTCTGGTAAGATGAGGACCAAGACGAGATGGGAGGTTCTGGTCTCCCTGTCACTGCTCTGAAGATGCTAAATTTGGTCAGAAACTCCCAAAGCCAGAATTCTTCTTGATTTGATTTCCATATTTCAATCTACTGGTGCCTCCCAGGCAGGTCCTGGGGTCCTTGGTGACAGGCTTTGCCTCGGTACCGCCCTGAGCCATGTCTCCGTCTACTGGTGTTCTGCAAACAGGAAGTGCTCAGTAGATGTTTATGGAATTGAATGAACCGATGGGCCGTAACCTCGGTAGCCATTTAGTTTACAAAACCGTCAGTACTATGACAGACAACTCTGTTAAGTGGTCTGAACCCATGTGCACACAGCTGCTTACATATGTGTTTGGCAAACATGACCTCAAGCTGGAGCTTCTGGATTAAGCCTCCAGAATGTTCGAGGATATTCACCGTCTGCTAACTTGGGAAGATTTCTCAGACATTTTCTTCCTTTGTTATAGTTTTGACATAACTGATTTTCAGATTTAACAAGATGGTACCTGTCACCGGGGATGGGGAACAATTAGCCAGGACCCTTCCCTCCAGCACAAACCTCCGCTCAGCCTGTCCTCAAGGGTGTCAGAGAGTAACAACGGTACCCAGCTCATCTACTCTCTCGGCCACGGTAAACACCAAAATAAAAAACGACAGCATGTGTGTGAAGGCTGTGGAGTCACACAGAAGAGTAAGCTAGGGTCGTGGTCACGATGCCGTTCAAGTTCATTTTCAGCTGACGCGCCGTACAGGCCAAGGCTGCATCGGGCGAGGACGCTGCTCCGTGGTGATGGCCGCAGCGCTCTGCTCCCTCAGAGCCCAGCAAGACGCCGCAAGGAGGGGCCAGCGACAGCACGTGCTAAAGGGCTCTCACAACAAGCTGATGCCAGGGGCCCGGCCAGGGGTTTGCTATCTGGGCACAACCTGTCTTTCTTGCTAAGAAATCTGGCAGCAGCTTTGCCACCAGGACCGAGTTCTGTGATATTGTCCCAGTCTGGCAGGCTCCTTGTGCCTTGGGGGTGCTGGACTAGAATGTGAGGTGCTGTGGGCTGGCACAGGTTTAGGAGCTGCTGAGGACAAAGATGCTCCTGGAAGATGGGCCAGGTCACAGGAAGAAGGGCAGGGGAGGCCTGGTGGTGGTGGACGAGGCCTAGGACTCCACGCAGAATGCTGAGAAAACAGAGCAAACCATTGTTTTGTTCTCGGGTCTGGAATTGCACTTAATGTACTGGCCACACAAAGCACTGTGACCAATTCCAGGATCAACTGCAGATGCGAACGAAGAGCAGGAAACAGTGCATTTTGTCCCAAGGAAGGAAGGAAAGTGACAGAAGCCCATCTTCCCTCCCCAAAGAGGCTCCTACGAGAGAATAAATGTCCGTGAGATAACTGGGCCCAGTTTCCAACCTCTCTCCTGATTCTGGAAGTAAGCGAAGACTTTTTCTGAGCAGAGCAGAGGTGGACGGAGAGGCAGGCTCTGGAGGTGATGGGGGCCTACCTGTGGCAGGAGGAAGGCACCCCTTTCAGAGCAGAGCCAAGAAGATCAGGTAAAGTGCTGGATTCCATGGGCCAGGCTGAGCGAACTACTCCCACCACCTGAGCTTGAAGACGTGGCTTCTTCCTTCAGGGGCTGTCACTGGAGACCGAGGACTGTAAGCTCAGGCCCACCCTGGAAGGGGCCTTCCTCCCCACAGAAATCCTGCTCTTGCGCTCCGAGGAAGCCAGTTTCCAGGTGCTTTCTAGAGAAAGCCAGTTTGGTGTCAACTTACTCTTAACAGATTGTGCTGCAGGCCTAAGAAGGGCAGACATAACAGGGTAGGAATCAGGGCACAAAACTTGAAACTGTGGCCAGAGAGGCGGACGGGGCAGCTAGAGGTGAGCAAGAACGTCGTACATACCAAGGACTTGAAATCAGACGCAGACTGTGGCGGCCCCACGGGCTGAGGCCGGCCCTGTGTGAGCTCGCCCGTGCGGTCGCGGGCCCAGGCCCAGGCCCAGGCCCATCTGAGACCTCAAAGCCCTGCGTGGATGAAGAAGGGGCTACATCTGCTCCTGGTGCCGGAAAGGGCCTCCCCTCTCTGCTCATGGCCGACCCCTCCCAGCTGGGTCCCGACACAGCATGCAGGGGGCACACTTCGGTTCATTTCTCAGCACTGCGACTTTCTGTTCCAAGCGCCCGTTCCCCTGGGGCGATGGAAACTCGTCAGTTTAGGGGAGTTCCCCCTCACCTGCGAGCACACCGAGATTGTGTAGGTGATGAGGAAGTGTTTGTTTCCTGAGGGAGAAGCGGACGAAGCTTCTGAAGTTTCTGGAGCAAAGGCCACTTCCTCGTGTGCTCTGGCCTTGACGCAGCCAGGGTCATGCTCCCCTGGAGGTGGGAAGTGGCCGAGGTCCCCTCAAGATGAACCAGTGAAAGGAAGGGGAAGGGTCACGAAGGGGTCCGCCTGACTTACTTAAAACTCAAGTCTTCTTCCCACACCCATTTCCCCTCCTGACTCACCTCCTCTTGTTGGGACTGGTCCTCAAAGTCCAGAGTTACCTGTCTCTCTTTCTCCCCTTGTTCCAGAATGGTAGAGAACTTTAGAGGTCATCTTGCCCAGTCCCTTTATTTTATGGGGGAAGAGATTGTGGCACTGTCTGGCACGCCCAGAATTAGATCCCAGATCATGTCACTGACATGAAGCCCAGCCCTCTGAGCCCAAGGACGTCCCATCCTTCACACAATCATGTGTGTGTCCTCGTCCATTCTGCTGGCGCCTGATGAAGCTTCCTCTCCTCCTACGTGGATCACAGCGACAGTGATCAAGACCAATGGGTGACGCTTTGCTCATGGCGTCCACAGAATGCCTTCTGTCCTTCTTCCCATCCCTCGCATCCTGCTCATCCTTCAAGGTCAGATCAAGTGCCACCTCTTCCAAGAAGCGTGTGCTGGCCGGGCGTGACCTCGCCCCCTCCGGCTGCATTCAGCACAGTATCCGCACGGCTCCTGCATGACGGGGCTGCAGGCGGGCTGCATCTTCATGCTATTAAGTTTCAATAACTAGGTTATAAATTCCTAAGCGCAGGGCCTCGCCTGCACTTCTGGGTTTCCCCAGCCAGGGCCTGGCCTTGAGGACTAGCTGATAACATTTCAGTCGCTGCTTGTGTGTCGTAGACTGAGAGGGGAAACTTTGGCAAAATGCTGAGAAATGTTTGCTGAGCCTCTGGCCCAAGTGAACTGGGGACACACACTGAGAAGGAAATGCTTAATTTACGGGGTAAGCAAGCTCCCACAGAGGCCGAAGGTGATCAGCGCAGCAGGCACCTCGTTCCAGGAGAAAGGGAGACTGCAGAGGCTTGTGGAAGAGCTGCAGGCTGAGTGTCATCCGCCCACGGATGCGCCCAGGAGCCTGGCCTCTGTCGCCGCTGGCCCTAGTGGGATTTCTGGGGCTCTGAGGTGCCCACGGCTCTTCCTGGGGCTGAGTCGTTGGTCCCTGCTCAGTGGCCTCATGTTCCATCAGGACTTTGGCTCCCCAGATTCCCCAGTCGGACTTTGGCTGTCGCTCCAACATGCTTCTCTTCGTGTCCTGTCCCCAGAGAGGCCCGACGGTCCCTCGGCTCTGTGGGTTCGGGGCGGTCCGGGATGCCGCAGCTCACTGTCCTCCAGTGTCTGGTACGCGGTGGGTGCACAAGCTCATTGTTTAACAGATGAATCGTCATTTTGGGGTCGGCTCCCTGAGGTTTTGCCTTTGAAGCCCCGATGAGTCAGTGCAGGAAAAGCCGCTTCTGCACCTGGGTGTCCTCTGCCTCACCTCGGTGACCTGAAGGCAGTTTGTGTGGTTGCCATTTGGCTTCCCGGCCCCGGCCCCCGAGGCGGTGACTGTGACGTGACTGTGGGGGACATGCCAGCCCCGTGGCCATTCTCTCACTTCAGGTCCTGTCCTCACCTCAGTGAGTGAGGTGACAGAGAGGGTAAGAGGTCGTCACAGCCCCAACTCCTCGTAGTCTCAAGGGCGGTGTGGATCCGCCACCTCGCCTGGTCTCCCCCCGGCCCTGCAGAGTCGGGGTGGCTGGCGGACCCCGCTTTGGTCCATCAGATGCGAGCGACGAGGCGGGAGACGCCAAGCATGAGCTGTGGAAGCAGAACCTGAGCCAAAGCCAGGTCTCCCGGCCCCGGCCCGGCACCTTCTCAGCCACTATCCAGCACCCTCCCGAGCACGCGGGGGCAGGAGAGGGGCTGGCGCCTCTGCCCAGGTTCTCCCTGCCAGCGGCCCAGCAGGAGGGGCTCACGCCTTGGCCCAAAGTAACTGCCGCAGTTTGGAGCCGGGAGGGCTGGGGAGGTGCAGGCCGCCCCCTTATGTTCCAGAGCAGATGCCCGGGAGGTCGTGAGGTGCCGGGGCCACGGGTCTGGAGCCCGTCCCTGACTCCAGGCTGCTGGGTGTGGACCCATCAGGACCTGCACCTTTGTTCCCTGGTTGCTGGGCCACCGATGGGGTCCCCTCTGGCCTGAGCCTGTGGGCCCCTCCGCGGATCACTTTGTTTGCACTGAGGAGCAGCTAGGGGGCAGCTGCTCCCAGACTACTTGGGGTCACATCCCAGCTCCCTGGCAGACCCGCTGTGTGAAGGGGATGTCACCCACCATGTGAAGGGGATGTCACCCGCCGTGTGAAGGGGATGTCACCCGCTGTGTGAAGGGGATGTCACCACGCCACCGCCTTGGGGTTTAAATGAGACGTGAGCGGCGCCTGGTCCACGGTCGGTCCCCACAAATACTGGCTGGTATTTGATCGAGAGAAGACGGGCGGTAAAATTCTACGTGCCTCCGGGAGCACATGCACCAGTGCTGACACCCCGGAGCTGGCCCCAGAGGAGGCTGCTGAAAGGTCTGAACTGCCCCACAGCAGGAACACCCCTCTGTAGTTGAACTGACCCACACAGAGCCACCTTCCCGGAGTGTGGACCCGAGGGCCTGGCCTGCCCTGTGCCCGCCAGGGACCTGTCATCAGCAGCTGACTCCACTCTCGGACTTGTGGCCGGGATTACTGGGATCGGAACTCCCCAGGGAGGTGGGTCCCTGCCCACTGGCTGATGGCTGAGAACAGGTGGGTCCTGCGGGCTGGGCCAGACCTATTCGTGGGGAGGTGAAGCAAACCCAAGCCAAGATTCTGGAGGTAATTAGAGAAAACATGCCCATCTCTGCCTCCGCCTGCCCAGCTAGGACTGGCCACGGATGCCAGGCAGAGCGAGGGGAACTTTTACTCAAAGCAAGGTGACCCACCGAGACCCCAGGAATGGACCTTTCATAAAAGCAGCTGAGAGATTTGTTCGAATCTGAGCCAAGAACTCCTGGTGGGGTCGGCGGGGTGCTGGCCTGAGGAGGACAGTGGCTTCAGTGACCCGAGCAAAGGGCATCTCCAGGGGCCACTCTCCCAGCAGGGCGCCTGGAGCTCGCGGGGCAGCCTGGTGCGTGGGCGCGGGCGCGGCGTGGGCCCCTGCTGCGCCCGCCTAGCTGTTGAGGGCCAGGCCTGTGAGTACAGGTTAGGGGTGGGGCGGGTCGAGCTGGGACCAGCTGGTTTGTCACTGCCCCACCCTGGCCACACCGTTTTGCATCTTCCTCCCCACCTCGTCCGCGCTTCTCCAGCTTCAGTCCTTTACTCTGAAGTGGATTTTTAAAAATGGGTAAAGCATGTGGCACACGGTGAGAAGTGCCTCCCTCCCGCGCCCCCGGGGACACCTGTGTGGCCTTGCTAACTGGCACGTGCAGGCACACAGCTCGGTATCTTCTTTTGGTCAGAGACTCCACTGAGAGTCTGAAAGGCCCTGGGTTTGTCCCTAAAACAGGGCACACAGAAGAAAGGAGTGTGCAGCTTCAGGAGGCGTTTTGTCCCACTCGACAAGGGATTCTGGTTGTGGCTTATAAGCATCTGGGTCTGAACACATTCTGTGTCCGTAACACTATCCCCCTCAGACACACAGCCCCGACGGCCGGGGCCCTCCCAGGATCGCAACAAAAGAGCTTTTCTAAGGCCTGGACAAAACGGCCGAGGCAGGCCAGCCACTTGGTGCCTTCTTTCAATAATTTCCTAATTTCTTTAGAATAAAATGAAATCTAAACCCTTAACATGGCCTGGTCTGACCTGGTCGCATCCCACGGCTATGACCCTCTGCTTATGCTGCTCCAGCCACGCTGAGCTGCTTTCTGCTCCTTGTCGAACACGGCAAGGCCGGTCCCACCTCAGGGCCTTTGCATAAGCTGTTCCCGCAGCCTGGAAAAGCATGTCCCCTGCAAGCTACGCTGCTGGTCCCTTCTGGTGTCAGCTCCAGTGTCCTACCTCTGAGAGGGCTCCCCCAGCCACCCTGCCGGATGCTGTGCCCCTACCCCGGCACCCTCCATCGCTTCACCCGAGTTGATTTTCCTCGGGGTACTTACCGCTTCTGAAGTCATCTGATTCTTTTAGTCCTTTACTCTGTCTTCCCCCACGAGGGTGGGAGCTCCACAGGGTCAGTGGCTTGCCTGTCACATCTCCAGCACCTAGAACAGTGCCTGGCACACGGTCCACACTCAGCACATATCTGTGGATTGAGTAAAGAATCTTGACTCATTCTCCATCCCACCAAGGCAGCTCCAGGCCACCTCTGCCAAAATGCCTGCCTTTCCCTCATTTCTCTAGTCCCAGCTGTCCTACCCTTTTCCCAGATCTCTGGAGCCCCTCCCTCCCAATCAGCATCTAACAAAAACTCTTTTGTGATTATGCGCCTGGGGGACTTAATCTGAGTCAATTTGGCTTCTCCGGCTCTCGCTCAGCCGAGTCCAAGGTCTGCTCAGCGTTTCCAGTGGAGCGGCCAGCAGCCCTGCTGTCTGAGAGGACACGAGCTCCACCCCAGGGGGGTCGGGGGAGCTGACTGAGGACGGCTGGGCCACGCTCCCGCCCTCTCATTCCTGGGTCTTATGGAAACCAACGAAGACCAACCCAACGAGGAAAGCAAGGACTATTTATTCAGAACTGGCCATGGCAAGCGCATCAGCCGTGGTGCCTCACGTGTGAGCGGAGACGGAAAGGCAGGCGGGGTGGGAAAGCTCCCCAGTGGACAAAGGGAGCTTCAGGTGTGACCTCAGCGGGGGCCGCTGGCACGGGCAGGCTGTGGGCGGGCTGACCAGAAGCCTGGCATCCTGTATGACTGGTTGGGGGGGGTGCATATTTGGCTTTCTCTGGTTGGTCCTAAGTTGAAGTGGGGACAAAAATCAAGGAAGCGGTCAGTGATGAATCAAGTCCTGGACGTTTTGAGTCAGTTCTTCCAGAACGTATTGTTTCGCTTCCTGGATTGTTACCAGAGATAGTCTGACTTCCCAGGAGTCTTACGGATTCATAAGGTTTATTCTAGATAAGGAGCTGGTTTCCTGGGCAGGTGGCTGCAGGTTGCGGGTCAGCGCCGTGCTTCTCTCTGCGGCCTGTTGGCGTGTTCGGTCTCGGTCTGCGGTGCAGACCAGCCCTCGGTGGCTCGCCCCACTTTCCTTAAACACACGGATGCCCTGGAAGGGGAGAATCAGCCACCTCCTTCCTGCGGCAGCTCTCTGGAGAAGGCGTCCTCTGTGCAGAGGTGACAGGTGGAGTAAGGGGGCCGGCCGCCCCCGTGGGTTAGCGAGGGCAGCGACGCTGCCGTGTCTGCAGAACTGTGCTCCGTGTCGCTTGGCTGGGTCAAGACAGCGAGTTGCGAGATGTGAGTCGGGCGGTCGGGACGGCCTGATGGCCAGCGTGGAAGTTCACGAGTGTGGCTGCCGTCTGCGGACACGGGAGCAGAAGGGGACTCGGGAAGGGGACTCGCGGGCGGAGGGGCCTGAGGGCGAGTCGCTCATTCTCTGCGCCCCAGTTCTTCACCCGCAGATCCACTGTGAGGCAGACGTGGTATGTGTGAAGATGCTTCGTGGGTTGTGAAGGTTTCGTGGGAGGAACCAGCTGGAGAGGGCCTCCCTCATCAAAACGAGGATCCTGAATGTACCTAGGCAGTAATAATAATAATACTAAATGAGTATGAGTCGCTGCTCTGAGCCCGCGCGGAACCCCTACAACAATCCTATGAGACAGTTACTATTTCGAGCTCTGTATTACAGATGAGAAAACCGGGGCACAGAGCAGTTAAGGAACTTGCCCAGGCTCACACAGTAAGTGCCAGAGGGGAGAGGAAGCTTAAATCGTGTGCTTTGCAGAAGATTAGTTGTTACTTTGCTCCCCTAAATGCTGCCTTTCTCTTCGAATGTGTCTCCTGACGCATCGCAAACCATTAGTTATAATAAAAAGTCAGCTCTTCCCAGGTGCCAGGTCCTGGGCGTTTGCAGGAATGAACCCACTCATCTTTACAATCCTCTGGGACAAGGAACCGTGATTATCATTCCCATTTTTATAGAAAACGGAAGAGCCAAGTGGCATGGCCCAGGCCTCTGACCCCGGAGCCTGCACATCCATCACTGGGACACGCCCGCTCTTGTCAACAAGCGGGGCCGTGCCTCCCCATTGGTCCAGCCCTGCTCCACACAGTGGCCCAGAGCGAGGCGCCAACCCCAAGCCTGTGGGTCTCGCTTTTCTGGGTTGTATCCCGTCTTTGAGAATCTAGTGGAAGCTGCAGACACTCTCCCCAGAACAACGCACACACACGCGCTGCATTCCGTACACACTCTGGGAACATCACCGATCCCCCCTCAAGCCTTTCCGTGGCCAGTGGGTGATGGCGGGGGACTTCCGGGGTTAGGGCTCCAGCCAAGGGGTACTGTCCAGTCTGGAAAGAAAAGACCAGCCTTTGAGTTTTGAAGGTTTCACTTACTGAGAGTAGAACCAGGATTCTGTGTCCACCTTTCTTTTCTTCGCCAAGGACCAGGACAGAAAGCATCCTGGCGGGAGGGTCCCCAGCTTCGAGCAGTCCATTACCCAGCTTCTCCCCCACACCCAGACAGCTCGGCATGGCTGGAGCAGATCTCATCGTTCCACTGATTTATGCCAATGCACATTTGCAGTTTCTAATCCCAGCTGGGCCTTTAACACTACTTGGCACCCCTTACTGGTACCAGATAAACACACATCCGGTTCCCACAGCGGCCATCCCGACTCTTCTTTAACGATTCTTTGAGCTTGAAAGGTTTTCGTGTGTTAGAAGCACAACCGCACGAATTTCCATTCACGTCCTCCAGGGTTTTTATCCAGTTTCTCCCTCAAGTTGTGCTCTTGACTCTTTTACGAATTTGTTGATTTATGTAGTTATTTAGAAGCTCCCATGCCCGGCGCTGGGTGGGGCTCTGTTCTCATGGAGCTTACAGCCCAGGGAGAAAGACCATCACCCAGCGAATAATCACAAATACCACTAAAGGGAAAGTAGAGAGTATTATCGAATGTATTGATGTGGGGGTTTCAGGAAGGCCTCCCTGAGGAAGTGACATTTAAAGCCGAGACTTGCAGGATGATATGTCAGTTAGGAATGCTTTGGGCTACGCACAGCAGACAACCAAACAGTGAAAGCATGAGGATGTTTATTTCCTCGAGAAGCCTGGGAGCAAAGGGTTCACAGGGTTTTTAAGAGGCTCAACAATATCGAGGGCCATGAGTTGACATCTCTGCCATTTTCTTGGCTTTTCCCGCAGTCGTTGTTCAGCC